TCTTTTGAATGAAAGGAACAAAGGAAGGGTACAAAATTAGTTACTGTGGGGGATGCTGGTGTTACAATGATAGAAAACAATGATAGATATATTCATACATAGGGCCTCTAGTATGAATATAAGAGCAACTGTGATGGAAAGTGCTGAGTATTACAATTGGATATAAGATGCTTGTGGGATATCCCATGACTCCTGTGGAGTTCTAACTATAGAACTGAAGTTCAGGAGAATATCTAAGATGGAAATATGGTTTAGGAATCTTTGGTCTGTAGGTCTGAATGTAATTGTTCAGGGAGATTGTATAGAGAAAAAAGAAGAAAAGATAAAGGATACATAAATTCTAAAGAGCACTAACCATTAAATAATACTTCCAGGGGAGGCTGACCTAAAAGTAGGAACTAAGAAGCTGGGTGTGGCTAGTGAGTAATGCTGGAAATCCTACGGAGTAGTGGCTATGCACGGAAATCAGAGAGGAGGATTTCCAAAACTCAGAAAGTGATCAAATTAGATAAATTACATAAATATTTATTGGTAAGAAGAAGATAATAGCTGGTCATCTTACTTACGTTCAAAAGTAGGATGACAGGATAAAGATTGGAGTTGGTAAAGAATTAGATGATAAACAAAGAAAATATATGGATAATACATCCCAAACATTTTATAAGATGCTTGTCAGAGTGTGACCTCCAACAGAATATGCAAATCCATGGTGCTAGGAATGTGTGATCTCCAATGTACGAATAACTTATGCCTTAAATGCCAAAGACACAGACATGTTTGTCCTCGTGCCCGAAAGCCTCCTTGTCAGTTAGCTATATGAATACTTTTATGTGGCTATAGATATTCCTACATCATAAGGCTGAGAAGTGAAAATATAACCAACCAGCAAGGCATTTGGGCTGTGCATCTGGCAGTCAGTTCGAAGGGCTTTGTCACTGAGTTGATGGGTAGTTGGTGGTCTCTGGCAAGCCCCTCCCTATTGTCCTTCAGTTCATAATCATAGCAAAGTCTGTTTGAGGTATTATGTCCCTGGCATGCAAGGCTCCTGGGGAACAACTTGATATTGGGATAAATAAGCCACGTGGAAGTTCATTCTGGAAGTGGCTTAAGTGTCTTGCCTAGGTGCCAAGAAAAATTTAAATGCAAAAAGAATATCACCCTGATGTCTTTATGCATTTATTTAATCTTCGGAAGCTTTATGCCAGGCTGTGCTCCCTGATGGTAAACTGGGCAGAATATGCAATATGATAGTAAGTGAAATAGGCAAATACTTGTGCCTTCAGGAGCTTATATTGTAATGGATAGAAGGAGAGCCACAATAAACAAAACAAATAAGTAAATTATGAGTGTTGTAGATGGTAAAAGACATGGGGGGGGGAGTATGGAAGGGATACTGGAATTTTTGGAGGAATGTGAAATATTAAAGAGGAGAGTCAGTGAGAGCCTCATTTGAGTAAAGACTGAAATTGAAGGATTAAGCCATGGAAAAACCTGGAGAAAGAGAGTTTCAGGTGAAGAAAAAGCAAAACATATAAGGCAGGCAACAGAAAGAAGCAGGAGAGTAACAAAAAAGAGGAGATTTGTGAGAGATAATAGGGAGAGAGAATATAGTAGGATCTGGGCCATTATAAGGACTGTATTGAGTGATTTTAAGGAAAATCACTGAACAGGAAAAACTGATTCTATAATTTTAAGAGTCTCTTCATTGAGAAAAGACAACTTAATATTAAATAATAACCTATAATTTTCCTATTAGTTGCCCTTTCTTTTGAAGGTAATGCCCCTATACAAATGACCTCCCCAATCTGCTTGGTTCCATCATAGAAACCCCTCCTTCGCAAAGAGGAACTGACTATGCATTTCTCTGAGAATGAAGTGGCATCTTCAGAAAATACATGGAATGTCATCTTTGTGCCATCCAGAAAGGCTGATAGTGAAAACAATGTGGGATTTTGAAAGAACTTTTTCAGAACCAGAGGAGGAGTAATACACTGAAATCAGTTCTCTCTCTGTGTGTGTGTGTGTGTGTGTGTGTAAGTGAAATATTCACTAAAAATAATAACAGTAAAGCTTTCACATGGGAATTTTTAAGATATTACAAGACCTTAACTTCTTTGCAACTAAAATACCACCAAATAAATATCTCCTGAACCAGAACATGGTTCTTTGAGCAAAAACAGAGAACCAGCACTGAAGAAAATAAGCTATCTGTGGATCCAGTTTATTGGGATAGCTTTTAGTTGCCTTCTTGAATACTCTTGAAGAGGTCTTTTCAATGTTGGTCTCACCTATCAGAACCAGTGTATGATTTTATAAGCACGCAGTCACAGAATTTAAAATTTGGGTTTTTCATCCTTATTATGTTGATAAATAGCATTTTACTATTTAAAGTAAACACTTTACTACCTACCATTGACTGGATCTTAGTTTTCTCACTTGCATATTAAACAGTTGGAAGAACAGTAGCAGTTACTTTTCTTGTTAAGGGTATCTGTGAAAATCAGTGATATGGGTGGGGTTGACTCCCAAACCAGCTCCATGCTCTCAGTAATTCGATAGGATTATCTTATCCAGAGATGATAACTACACAGCTTTGTAGTCAACATCCTTTTTTGTTCCCTTAGACAATACAAACAGACCTTGATACTTAGCTCTATTGAGGCAATCATAACTCAGGGAAGGTCAGAATCTTTGTAAAAATTCATTTTTGCATAGTGACTCAGACAATCATGACCAAATAAATTAGAGCTGGCACTCAAGTTGAAAACAACTTGCTACCTTCGCATTAGAAGAATGACTATATGGAAGTCAACAGTTCCTAGTATAACTAAGAAGGGCATTTGCATCCTGTCAGCCAATGTCTCCCAGCCCTAAAGGGTTCTAACGTGTCACCAGTTCTGCCAACATGAAGTCCTTTCTGGTATCCTGGGCAAAACCAAAATGGATTGATTAGCTTTTCAGTCAAAGAGGCCTGGATATGTAGCACTCTTTTCCCTTCTAGATAAAGCCCACTTGCATCCTGAGAAGAGAGCCTTCTGTAAAAGAAACAAACTCAGACAGTCAACAAATAGAGAAACCAGGGACTTCTTGATCTTTGAAGCTCCCACCCACTCACTTTCTTATGATCCACATAAACAGGAGCTTAGATCAAGAAATCTGTATTCCTTTCAGTTCTAATGAAAAGTCCTAACAATGTTATTAGGTAAATGTGATGAATTTTACTCTGGTGAGACAGCTTGTGACCCAAAAATTGCTATTTAAAATTAAAATGCATTCAAAATTAAACTGGCAAGCCAACTACAATATTAAACATGCAATCTGCTGTGGAAAACACCTATTGAAAGCTATATTAAATATGAATATAATTAATTTCCATATAGCATCTTGCAATTGAAATATGAAAAAATTGCTCTTTAATTTATTGCTTTTCTTAAATTCAAATTGGTTGAATAATCTTTTTTTTCAAATTAAGAAGTTAAAGTATAGATGGATTGGTTTGTCTTTGGTAATCCACCCCATTTAGCTGAGCTCCAGGTGGTACAGAATCTAGTAGTATAGACTCCAGATTTCTCTTTTGATGAATAAAAGTCCTCTATTTACCTCATCCCAAATGTTCATTTATAATAAATGTAAAAATGTTTCCCGCCTGCTTACTTCCAAGTTTATTTATAACTTTCATGGTATAAATTACTCAAGATATATTAAATGTGATCTTTAGAATTGTTTATACATTAGTTTTAAAATGTATTTAAAACTAATGATATTTTTGATAGGTCAGCTAAATCATTTCTAAACTTGGTAAAAATTGAGGTGCTTTTTTATGGTAGAGAATGTTTGTATTAGTGCTATCACTAAACATTAATACTAAGTAAAACTCAACCCAATGTGTATATTTTCATCCCATATTTTAACATTAAAGAATTGTATGTGGTAATAAAAGGATCCATTACCATTGTTTGCAAAGAATTTAATGACCAAGTCTTATCTATTTCTAGTTTTCAAAAGGTATCAAAGAATGATTAAGTTTCCACAATATCGCATCATAATTATAACAATAAACATGTGTACTTAATTACAGGCTTAATGTTCTATGCATTCCTTGTTCAAGAGATTCTCAACACATCAAAACAGCGTTAGCTAGAAATAAGAGGGAACCATATTTCACCCTCGTTATTGCCAATATAGAAAAAGACTCACCGGCTCTTTTAAAAAGATACCACAAGAACTATCATTTCACAACCATTACCCATTACCCCTGGAGCACAGTGCATACTCAGTAAATGTCAGTTGAAGGAATGAATGAATATGCGTGACTGGATAGCAAGCAAACCTAGTCTTCGGCTGCTACAGGACTACAGCATGGACCAAGGCTGTGGCAGCAGGGCTCCTAAAATCTCCCTGTCTCACAGTCTGACCATGGTGCTGAAGGAGAAGACAGGGTCCTATTTCAACCCTCCCTTCCTCTTTATTGGTTCAGAAAACGCGAGTGACAAGAGCAGGGGCCAAAGGAGCCTGGAGCGGCATCCTTCCTAGGAACCAGGCATCTGGATCTTTGGGGCGATGCTATGGTCCATCGGGCTACAGCCAAGGCATGCCTCTGAGCCCTCAGCGAAGCCCGGAGACCTCACAGATGTCACCGCTGCAGTAGAGAAGGTGACTCCAGCGGGATGGCTTGTCTGTCTCCGGAAGAACTGGCAGTCAAGTACATGCATAGCCTGGAAATAGGATCAGGAAGTCTAGATGGCGGGGAGGGAAGCAAACCTGTATTCCTATGGCCAATGTTCCCCATGTCTCGCACGGGGTACCGAAAAAAAAAAACAGGGGCTGATTTCACCTTAAGTTTTCGGCCCTAGTCTTCCAACAGGTGCATGCCTCGTTCCCTCACCCTTCCCCCGTTAACAGGGTCCCGCTTTGCCTTCCTGAGGCTTCCTCTGCCAGGCAGGCAGTACCTAGGGTGCCTTTTCCTCCTATGCTTCCCAGCTCTGCTGGGCACCCCTTACCTGCAGACTGGAGACCGAAGAGCAGGCACAGGGCTGGGAAGCCCGCTGCTCTCCGCATGGCCATAGCACGGAGAGGCGGAGGGGGACTCCTCCACGACCCCGCTCCGGAAAGTGCTGCCAGGAGGAGCCAGCGCCGCAGGGTCCCCGAGCTCCGGGATGCAGTGGCGGGTCCCCGGGCTCCGGGATGCAGCCTGCAGGGTCCCCGGGCTCCGGGATGCAGTGGCGGGTCCCCGGGCTCCGGGATGCAGCCTGCAGGGTCCCCGGGCTCCGGGATGCAGTGGCGGGTCCCTGGGCTCCGGGATGCAGCCGCGGGTCCCGGGCTGGAGCGGGCAGGGCGGTGGGCGGCGCCTGCAGAGACCGCCGGGCAGCGCCCGGGGGAGGGGATGAAGGGAAGGGTGGGGGCGGTTGAGCGGGCGGAGCGGGCGGGGGCGGCGCTCGGAGGCGGTTGGCGCTCGGCCTCTGGAAGCCCCGCAGCGCCGGCCCCGGAGCCCGCGGTGCGGAGCGAGTAGCAGCGGACGCCGCGGCTACTGAGCATGCCCGGCGCTGCCCGCCCGTGGGTTCCGAATTCAAGTCCACCTCCGGGTCTTAGCGGCCGCTGGAGGGGCAGGCGGCGGGGGTGGGGGGTGGGGGGGGGAGCAGGGGGGAGAGGAGAGAAGGTGGGGCGTGCTTTTGGGAGCCATGGGTAGGAAGAAGGGTCTGTCAAACCCCTGGGGGTGAGGTGCGGTGGGATGGAGTGAGTCCAGATGGGGGCATGCCCAGGGGGACCAGTGGAAAGAGCCCAAGAGGTCAACCTCAGACCCACCCAGCTCCCTCCCCAATTCGTGGTTTACTCGTGCACCCTGCTCGCTGCAGGGAGTCGACCTTCGCAAGCCCGGAGTGACCAGCTTCCAGAGCTGCCTGCAGGAACAGGGTGTAGGCAGCCCCCGCTGCTGAGCACCCGGGGCCTGGAGACCTGTAAATGGTGTCCTGCCAGTGCCTTGTTCTAACAGCTTTGCGGTTTTTTGTTTGTTTGTTTTGTTTGTTTATTGTTTCTATTTCCCTTCCAGACAAATCTCTGGTATTTAAATTTGCTCCTCACTGGAGTCCAAAGTCTATGATTATAATAACAGAACAAAGTGAGGCCGTACTGTTTGACCGGTAGGACATACCAGTGTGATTGAAGAAACGAAGGCGCCTTTCTGTTTTGGGGGACAGTTACCTTTACTCTCCATTTTTCTTCCTCAGGTGACAGGCAATAGAACCACTTCTGCCAGGGGCTCCTCCAAGCAGCTCTGGGTCTTGCTGAAACCATCTAACTGGGTGCCCACACAGCCCACCCCAATCTCACGCCCCCATCTAAGATTTAGGAGTGTGGAGATCCTGCCTTTAGTCTATGGGCTAATAGCTCTTAATCCTGGAGTCCCTGCCAGACTTCTCTGCTGTAACCGTCCCAGGAGCATCCATGTCTTCATGGAATGCTGTTGTCCCTTCCCCAATGGCCTCCACTTGCATGCTCTCCACACTCAAGCTTACAGAGGTCTAACCGTGGCCTCACTTTTCCAAAAGTTCAGATGGAGATCCAAGGCACAGTGCTGCTTCTCTTTTACACATCAGTCTATACACAACCTTGGTGCAGCATCACCTTATATGTTTATACAGATATGCGTGTACCTGTGGTTTGTCTTCCAGCCCAGTGGAAGGCTTCCTAGGAACAAATGCATCTTTCTTCCACTTAAATTACATAAAGCTGTTCCAGGTAAATAAAAGATACTAATTGAGTTGACCTGCATATCTTACTCAATGCTTTCTTCCTCCAGCCGCTGTGGACTGGGACAGCTAATGGGAAATATACTCTCTACAGGAGCTTAAATTAGGCAGGATCTTATAGGATCAGAAAGCCTGGACAGAATCTTTGTATAATTTATTTCACCTCCAACACTGAGAGAAGATGCCAGAAATTGTCCTCTGGTGTTAGGAGGAGAGAATAAGATTTATTTTTTAATATAATATTTTCTTATTGATTGGGATATTACATATGTATCCTTAACCCCTTCTTCCCCTCCCCCAACTCATGAGCTCACCCCCTGGTGTCTGTGTCCATTGGTTAGGCTTATATGCATGCATTCAAGCCCTTTGGTTGATCTCTCCCCTTTCCCCCACCATCCCCTACCTTCCCTCTGAGATATGACGGCCTGATCAATGCTTCTCTGTCTCTGGGGAATAATATGTATTTTTAATAACTAGACAGTTCTTCCATGCTGAAAACAGCAATATAGTTTCACTCTCCCCACTCCTCCACCTCCCCGTATGGGCATGTCATGTACCATTTCTACGGCATTACCATTTCACCCTAAGCTATCCTAAGCTATGCCCTCTTCCCCTACTCTGGACTCACTTTCCCCCAATCTCCTTTTCCCATACAATATATCACTTTCTAACATATCAAGATAACTACTTATTAAATTTATCATATTGACCCAACTGGCATAGTTCAGTGGTTGAGTGTTGAATTTGATCCAGGGTCAGGGCACATGCCAGGTTGCAGGCTGGATCCCCTGTGGGAGGCGTGCAGGAAGCAGCTGATCAGTGAGTCTCTCTCTTCATTGATGTTTCTTTGTCTCCTTCTCCCTTCTTCTCTGAAATCAATAAAAATATTTTTAAGCAAATTTATCATATGGTCTGTTTCCCTGCCCTTCCCCTTTCCCGTTCCTGCAGTGGAATCCCATTTTCAAGGGCAGAATCTTTAACAGTTGTATTCACTTATTTATCCAACTGATTGGAACAGTACCTCTCCCAAAACAGGTGCTCAAAAGAGTAAATTAAAAGAAATTAGTTGGTAAAGTTCAATGCTGACCATTAACCTGGTTCTCTGGAATTCCTACTAAATAGATATTTGAGGTAATTTACTTAGTTGATCTTAAAGGTTAGAGCAGGACTTCTCATCTAATATCAGGTATTAGAATTCCTGCAGGGTTTGGAGTTGAAGAGAAATAACCATAGTAATGGATGTGTTTCCTTTATTTTTGTCTTTCTTGGAAAAACAACAACACACTAATTACTAAACTTTAAGAAGCAAATGCATGAAAAGTAATGAAATAATGCTGTAATACTGCCCTGCTTCCCTACATATAATTCCAACACTTTGGAGGGGAAGTGAGTACATTTAAAGTTTCAAATAATTGGCAGTGACTTTTCCAACAAGCAGTTAGCAAGATATTTATTTTGCCCAGGTGTGTAGGTAGCTGAATTATTAACTGTGCCTGAAAATCCCCTTAACAGCAAAATTTTCCAATTTCCAATTTAACTAGATGTACTGCTAAAATAGTTCAGCGTGGTAAAAATAACCTCGGGTGAGCAGTAATTTTGGTAACTGGACATTCATTTTTAATTTACATAAAAAAAGATAAAGGAGCAAGAAAAGTTCGCATCCCTTGGTGAGTCAACCTAATATACTTCCAATGGATTTGATCTCATGACATGTGAAGTCAAAGGACAAAAAATGAATTAGCCAATTAGTGAAAAGTCAACCCCTTAACATTTGAGAAATAGTCTCCCTGGGTCCACAGAGGTTGCTTTTCCTTCACTCTATGATCAAATAGTACTGAAGGCAATTTGTGTTGTAGAGAAGCTTGGTTAAAACACTGCCCCAAGGTTTAGAAGAGTTAGTTCAAACTCTGAAAAGCATGGAAATTAATATGAGAGAGCCATGCAAATTCGTATTGACCTACAGAGCTGTGTCTCAAAGGAAATTATTTACCTTTCAAAAAATAAATAGAAAATTCATTATCATATGGACTTTTCCTCCCTAGTAGATGCATAATCTCTTTCTTATAAGGTGAGATTCAGGCAGAATTACTACAGGAGAGAAGCTTTTTAGAGCCAGTTCTCAAACCAAATTTAATTATAATAAAACAGGAATTTTGGGGGGTGAAAAATAAAATTTTAGGAAATTAAGGGGACCATGGAGGAAGCATAGGGTTACAGAGCAGCAGAAGGTATATCTCCATAGAATAGGGAACTGAAAAGCTGCAAGGGTACACTTCCATAGAATGAGGGAGCTGGGAACAACAAAAGGTCTATATTTACTAAATAAAAAGAAGGAAACCCCTCATCCAGAAGAAAAAGAAATCCAAAAGGGAATAGGAAGACAATAAGGAAAGGGAGAACACTATATAGTCCCCAGTCTAGGGGAATAGTGACCAACCAGAGGGAATATCAAGGCACCAGGATCTGCAGCCTTTATAAGCCATAGGGAAAGGGAACTCAGTGGGACCCTTTTCCCCCTCCTCACGTGGGAGTCCATTCTGTGGACTTTTAACCTTGACCCATGTGGAAGTCTTTACTTGTCTTTCAATAAATTTCCACCTTTGCTATATACCCTCTGTCAATGGATTCATTCTTTGACTCCGAGGAACAAAGAATCTGGGTTTCAGTCCAGGGGAACACTGCATGTTCCAGTACAAAAATTTCATATCAATAATAAGCCTCTACATTAACTTTTTTATAAGTGGAAAAATGTCATTCATGTTGGCCAGCCTTCCTTAGGACACTTTAGATAAAGAAATTGAATCTATTGATTGTTAGAGTTTTTTGTTTGTTTTTATTATTTAGATACTAGAGGCCCAGTGCATGAAATTCATGCATGGGGGATGTGTGTCCCTCAGCTCAGCCTGCACCCTCTCTAATCTGGGACCCCTCAAGGAATGTCCAACTGCCCAGGGTGGGATCAGGCCTAAATGGGCATTCAGACATCCCTCTCACAATCCAGGACTGCTGGCTCCCAACCACTCACGTGCCTGCCTGATTGTCCCTAACCACTTCTGCCTGCCGGCCTGGTCACCCCTAACCACTCCCCTGCCAGCCTGATCGATGCCTAACTGCTCCTTTGCCAGCCTGATTGTCCCTAACTGCACTCCCTTGCTGGCCTAGTCGCCCCCGACTTCACTTTTCTGCAGGCCTGTTTCCCCAAACTGCTCTCCCCTGCAAGCTTGGATCTCTTCCACCTTCCCTCCTCTGCCAGCCTGGTCAATCCTAACTGCCCTCCCCTGCAGACCTGATCACCCTCAACTGCATTCCCCC